TATCTCAGTGTAGCTGGGATTTGCATTTGTTAAACTGTGAGTGAAGTAAAGCATCTTTCCGTACGTCTGAGCCATTTGTTTTTCCAAAAGGCTATGAAAACACCGTGTTCTTAGTCATAATGCCGATGATATTTTATTTCTCCGAGTTCTTTTCCAAGTGTTACACAGTTGTTCTAATTAGTTTGTATCGCTGGAAAATGTTCATTCTGCCTTATTTTCAAATATGTCATTTTAAACTGCTGTGTGAAAGTTCATCCACGGGACAGTACTGTGGTTTGCTTAACCATTCCCCAGCCATGGGGCGTTTGTTTCAGTCATTCTATAAACACACTTTGGGAACACATCCCAGTTAGGGAACGTCTGCCTGTTGGCATGGGCTATGCAGTGTTTCATGCTCTCATCTGGATGTTGGGACCCTTTGTCTTGACATCTGATTTCTTGCCTGGAGCAGTCTGGGAGGAACGTAAGGCCTTTGGAGCTATCTCCACCTTTCCCCTGAGGTTCCCTGTCACTCTTAGGCTTTCTTTCAGGCTTTAAAGTGCCAGGTGAATGCTGGGCCTTGGTACCTGTCTGTGCCGTGGTCACGTCTGCTCATCTGTCTCTGCCATACCCTCTCTTGAATCCACACCCTCTCTCCTTCCCCTCTGCCTTAGTCCAGACCACACGTTGTAGGAGCCTTCCACTGCTCTCCCTTCCTCCCGGTGTGCCCTCTAATCCAGCCTCTACAGAGCTTCCACATCTTTCTGAAATGAATGTTTGGTTGTGCCTCTCCTGTGATGGCTCCCCTGCTAAGAGTCCTTAGCAGGGCATTTGAGACTCTCACCTTCAGACTCCTCCCCAGTTCTCTCTCCTGCTTTCCCTCTAGGCTTCCTAAACTAAGCTCAGTATAGGATCCAAATGACAATAAACCTAAACTCAGGCCAAGATGGTGTCATTCAGACTTTTTCTTTGTCTCCCTATAGTTTCTTTGGAGGGAGGAACATTTATCGAGCATTTACTGTATGCCAAGAGAATTATCTCCACTTTACAGATGAGAATCTGAAATTACAAAATTTGCTCATGAGCATATAGCTAGTCAGCAGATTTGGGAAATCTGACTACAGAGCTCTCACCATAACCACATACAGGAAGACCCTTCTACCCTCAGTGAAGCCCCCCTCTTCCTGCCAGCTCAGCTTCTTCTTGGAAGCCTGCCATGACACACACCCCCTGTTATTTGGTCTCTTAGCACTAAAGGGCCCCTGCATGTTATAGCTGGTCCCCTTCCTCAGTGGCATCCAAACCTGCCACACATCAGAATCAGCTGGATGCTTTTCCAAATCAGATTCCTGAGTTCCCTTTCTGGGGGTTGTGATTCAGAAGACCTGGTAGAGAAGAAGGGAAGGGCAGGGGCTCTGTGTGAGAAGAGGCTCCCCAGTGATTCTGTCACACGGTAGTTTTGGGACCCACTGATGGATGCCTCATCTCTGATTTCCCATCCAGTGCAGAGGGGCCCGTAGTGAGCCCCTGGATGCCTTGCTGAGCGAGGTTTGTGACTGCAGCACCTGGCATGCTTCAGGATGTCTCAGAGACCCCTTTTCACCAGTTTTTGCTATTAACCAAGTTCTGCAGGATGGTCAAAGTCACCTGATTAATTTCATCTAATTAATTTTATTAACCTTGATGGAGCAGGAGACTCAGAAGAATTAACCTAAACTCTGTTAACTAATAATTGAGAGAACTTTCCTTCTTCTCTACAACATGGCACTGTTTGCTGGAATTTATGGTCCAAGTGTCTTGGTTTTGTCCCTTGCAAATTAAGAGGCTCTGTATTAATTACATTCTTCTTTATTCCTCTGTTTATCTTACGGTGCTGCTTTGGGAGCATTAGCTATGACATACTCTCTCATTTACTCCTATGAGAATATGGTAGAATATGACAGCCCTATGAGAGGATTAGAATCGCCCTAGACAGCGCCTAGACATTGTCCCTCAGTTGGTGATACTGACCGATAGTGCCCTAGCTTTCTGCTGCCTACTGAAGGTTATATGGTCTGTCTGTCCCTCAGATCAGACTGGGCAAATGCATGGCCGTAGGCCAACAGGTTCCAGTCTGTGCTTTTCCTCCCTGAGTCTAGACACACCTCAGAGTGCCTCAAGACAGTGTTCCCACCCACCACCACTTTCGGTGGAAGAGAGCATCTGTTCATCATCCCAGCTCTTTATGTTCCAGAGCTTATCATTGGATCAGCCCAGGCTATCCGAGGCCCTGTGCCTGGACTGCAATTTGGTTTCTTGTGGATGCTTTGATAGCAGAAATGGTTATACTCATGGTTTTTTTTTTCCTATTCTTAAAATGATAACCTTTATTGATCGCTTACATTGTGTCAAGAACTGTGCTAAGTGCTTTAAATGAATTAACTAACTCAATCCACACAAAACCTTAGGAAGTAGGTACTATTGTCACCCCCATTTCACAGATGAGGAATGGAGGCTCAGAGAAGTTCAGTTGCCCAAGACCACACAGCTGGTAAGTGGTGGAGTCAGAATCACATCCAGGCAGGCACTCCCAGCCTCTGCTCTCAGTCATGAATCCTGTAACTGACCATTTTCTTTTTGGTGTTGGCCACAGAAAGCTACTCGCCAAATTTACCTGATGCTAAAGGGGAAGGTTGGCCTTTTTCCTTTCCTTTTCCTGCCTTTCGTTTCTCCTCCTGCCAGTATGGCAGAGCTGGACTCTCCGCCCAGTGCTCTGAGTGATGGGAGTATGTGCCAGGTCTTTAAACACAGGTGTTAATTGCAGAAATTAGTTGGTAACATAGCAGCTGTTCAGAAAGCCCCAGCTTCCCTATCTTCAGTAATTACCTATTGAAAATTTAGCCTACACAAAATTATCTCAGTCTTTGTTGAATCTTTTTATGTTTTCAGCCTGATTGAATGACCTCTGGGGCTACCCCATGACTTCAGGAAACATTCCAAATGTCAGCATTCTGCTGAAATTCAGCCCTCTTCTTCCTCCAGAAGAGCGGGGTTTGGGGTTTTAGGTCTGAGTTCAAGTTTTGACTCTGTCACTTTTAAATTTCTGGATTACTGCTTTCCATTCTAATCTTGATTTCCTCATCTGTGAAATGGGCGGTTTCTTAAGATAAAATAAGATAAAAATGTGACAGTACCTCATAATCTGCTGTTAGGAATTATACTAGATTTTCTTCTGATGCTTGATAACTAAATAGTGTAACCTTTTGAATTCTCTACTCCAGTGGAGGATATACCAGTCCATTGCCTGTCTCTGGACCATCCTCTACAATGTTATGCCAGCCATTCAGTCATTCATTCACTTAATTGACAAAATTTATTGAGCTCCACTATGGGTCAGCCACCCAGTCCTCCTGTCTTTGGAGAGTCTCATAATGGGTGAGTACAGATGAGCATGGCCAGAGGGTACAGTGTGAGAGTTGGGAGGAGATGAGGTTGACAGTCGGTGGGTCTTCCGGCAGGGGGAAGTGGCCGTCAGATTTAGGGTTTGGGAGCGTCATTTTTGGGTTGGGGACTATGATGGAGGATGAGCAGGAAGCAGGGAGACAGGCTGAGGTTGCAGCTTTCTGCCTTTGAGTGTATTCCAGCTGGACTTGCCCTCTCCCTGCTCTTGGAGAAGAGGACAGGCCCAGTCCCCCTGCAGCTGGAGGAGCCAGTTCACCAAGCTCTCCCTCCGTGGGCAGCGCTCTGTAGGCTGAGGTGACCTGGTGCTGTTAAGGTTCATGTCCCAGAAGGTATTTGTAAGTTCAAACCAGAGTTCAGCCTTGGCTCTGCCTCCACAGGGAGGAGGGAGGCCCTGGGTTGAGCTGAGCTACAAAACCCGCTTCCGGAAAGGAGGCGAGCACAACAGGAGATTTAAAAAGCTGCCTTGCAGATGCAGATGGTGCGCAGGTATTATGGTCTTGTAAAACCTGGCAGAGCTGGCCCCTCTCTTCTTGTCATTCTTTCCTTGTTAGTCCAGGCCTCTTCCAGCTCTGACATACAGCTCTGAGCCCAGAAAGAGTGTGCCAACCAAAAGTGCTGTGAAACAGGACTTTTCCGCCCTCTCGAGGCAAAAGAAGAGAGAGATTTTTGCTAGGAAGAGGCATCTGTTTTCCCTTCCTGGTGTTAGAGAGTTGGTGGGTGCTTATTTGTCTCCCCAATGTCTCAGGAGGGCCTTTCCTCAAGCTTCTCTTGGTGAGGTAGGGATGGCGGGGTGGGGGGTAGTGTCTGGCCCAAGGCCCAAATCTAAGTATCAGGCAGTGTACTAGTACATTCCTGCCAGCAGGTGGCAGCAGGCCTCTGGTGAGATGTTCAAGCCTATTTCCGCTGACCACAGCCTTGCCACACCTCTTGGCATGGGGTCCTGTGTGCCTCGTCTAGAAGGACCTCCTCTCTGTGTACATTTGGAGAGGGAAAGGGTAGACATGAGTCAGACATGGGCCCTGCCCATGGGGAGATCAGCATTGGCAGATGACCAGGCTACAAAACAGAATTAAATGACCTTTCTGAGATGTGGAAGGCAGCGTGGTGTAGGGGAAAGAGGGAGGGCAGCAGGATTCAGATCCTGACGCAGCTCCTTACTGGCTGGGTAACCTTGGCATGTTGCATAATGTGAAATGATTACAGTGATAATAGCTAACATTTGCATGGTGCTTCCTTTGGCCAAGCACTGTTTTAGGTGTTTTAATAATTATACATTTACTATATATTTAGGTATATTAACTCAATCCTTAACATTTCCTTGAAATCTGTACAGCTACATCCCATTTTACAGATGAGGAAATGAAGGCACGAAGAAGTTAAAGTTCTTTTTCGAGGTCATGCAGCTAGTGGATTCAAACCTAGCAAGGCAATGGCTCACCTTTGTGGTGGTGCATATGCAGGGCTAGCGCCAGAAGTGCCCGGCACCAGAAGAAGGCCTTTTATTATAAGCCATTCTTAGGGCTTCATGACAAATGAGCATTTAAATAAGTGTTTCCTTATCAGTGCTCCATGCTTAGTGTCACTGATTCTCCATCTTCCTGGCAGATTTGGGCACGTGAGCATGGCACACCTGCTTCTGGATCATGGGGCTGATGTCAATGCCCAGAACCGGCTGGGGGCCCGTGTGCTCACTGTGGCCTCTCGGGGTGGCCACCTGGGCGTGGTGAAGCTGCTCCTGGAAGCTGGTGCCTTCGTGGACCCTCACAACCCCTCAGGCGAGCAGCCGGCGGCAGGGGACAGCAGGAATGAGCTGCTGGACATCACAGCCCTGATGGCTGCCGTCCAGCACGGACATGAGGCCGTGGTGCGTCTGCTGCTGGAGTGGGGTGCGGACCCCAACCACGCGGCACGGACTGTGGGCTGGAGTCCGCTGATGCTGGCAGCGCTCATTGGAAGGCTGGGTGTGGCCCAGCAGCTGGTGGAGAAGGGGGCCAACCCCGACCACCTCAGTGTGCTGGAGAAGACTGCCTTCGAGGTCGCGCTGGACCGCAAACACAGGGACCTTGCAGATTACCTGGACCCACTGACCACCGTCAGGCCCAAGACAGGTCAGGCTGCTTCTCTTCAGTCTCTCCCCCACTGTGGCTTCACAGAGGACCCTAAATTGTGTTTGTTTGTTTTTTTAATATATTTTTATTGATTTCAGAGAGGAAGGGAGAGGAAGAAAAAGATAGAAACATCAGTGATGAGAGAGAATCATTGATCAGCTGCCTCCTGCACACCCCACACTGGAGATGGAGCTCGCAACCCAGGCATGTGCCCTGACCGGGAATGGAACCGTGACCTCCTGGTACATAGGGTCGACACTCAACCACTGAGCCATGCCGACTGGGCTTCAGCCCACTTTTGAGGTTTTTTAGCACCTAGTAATGTGTCCTGTTTCTTTCTTTTTTTCTTTTTTGCCATCTTTCTGGCATTTAAAGAACTGTTTGAATAATCCTTAGCAAATCTGCCATAGGACACATTGCGTTTCAAAACTTCCAGTTCATCACGTGCAGTAGGACCGTGAAATGCCATATCACACACAGCCTCAGTACCCTCTTTCTGTGATGGGTCTGACTTTAGTGACAGGCGGCCCGGGCTGTAATGACAGGTTGCAGTGTATAAGCGTCTAGGACTGAAAGGTGAAAATCTGAAGGAAAAGCCAGCTGAGGGACCTTGGATGGGTTGCCTGAATTCACCTAGCTTCTGTTCTGTCGTCCACAAATGGGGGACAGGAGTAGCACCATGTCATAGGACTGCTGTGAGAAGTCAGGTCACCTGGCCAAGTGTGGGTACTTGAGAGGTATTGGGAGCTGCCATCCCCCTGTTATTGTTACTGCTGTCATATTTGACAGGATCGGGTCATGGCTATGGGTACAGACTTCCTCGTTGAGCAGACGCAGGTTTGAAGCTAGTTCTTCACTTTGTGGTGTGGCTGGATGGACTTAGGCATGTTCATTGTCCCTTCAGGACTTCAGTGTCCTCTTTCCCGAAAGAATCATAATACATGTGCTTACCTCGTAAGGTTCTGTGAGCAATAGTAAGGGAGGTGCCTGTAAAATGTGTATCTAGCACCTGGCACATAGTTAGCACTCACTAAGTAGATGATTATAATAGGTTTTAATTGACCATCGTTCATTTAGTTAGTATGAGTGCCTGCACTGTACCAGGCACTGCTCTCAGTACGTGGGATATGTCAATGAGCAAATCAGTCCCTGCCACTGAGAACCTTGGCAATAAACAGGAACTAGAATAGAATATTAATCAAATAAAATAAGCTGCACAGCACAGTAGGTGGTGTCAGGGGGGCAAGGTAGAGGGTTTGGAGTGGTCCAGTGGGGGTGATGCACAAGGAGGTCCTGGCCTCCTTGAGGAGGTGAGACTTAAACTGACTCAGGAGCTGAGGGAACATGCCATGCGGGCTGTCAGGAGAGTCTTCAGGTAGGACAGCAACAAGGACCAAGGCTGCGTTATGAATAATGGTAGGCTATTAAAGAAATAATAATAATAGCCACTAGCTCTTTTTGTGGGATGCCAGAAATTCACCCCACCAGGGACTTAGGGACCCCTAGGTCTCTCTTCTCAAATTAGCAGTAGCAGGCTGTCTTGGAGGCTCTAACTGTCATTGTGACACCCCGTCTACCCTCACTGTAGTGGTTTCTTGGGCTAAGGCAGGGTCCCCAGAGCTGCTTTAATACTGATGCAAAAAACCGGATCCTGGAGTGAGGAAGGGACCAGCCTAGGGTCACTTGACATCAGGGACACAGCTGCCCCAACCTCCTGGGGTCAGGCTAGACCAGTGATGGCGAACCTTTTGAGCTCGGCGTGTCAGCATTTTGAAAAATCCTAACTTAACTCTGGTGCCGTGTCACATATAGAAATTTTTTGATATTTGCAACCCTAGTAAAACAAAGACTTATATTTTTTATATTTATTTTATATATTTAAATGCCATTTAAAAAAGAAAAATCAACCAAAAATATGAGTTTGCGTGTCACCTCTGACACGCGTGTCATAGGTTCGCCATCACTGGGCTAGATTGTCAGTGATTCATCTGTAGCAGACGGTTTCTTAGCAACCAACATTAAGGCCAGGTGACACGCTCTTTTCTGTCAAAGGGTCTTGGCATGAGAGGGCACCAGCCCACAGCAAATTAGACTCTGAAATACTTAAAGGAACACATCGTATTTATTAAAACTAAAATGCAGATTCATTTCATAATAGTATTTTACAGGCAAAATCAGACACTTGGTTCCATGTCTATACTTCCTTTCACAACCTCGCAGTTAGTAGTCGTCCTTGCTGGGGTGGACGCTGGTCACTAGTAAAGATCACAAAAATTGCACTTTGAGTAGGCCCTAACCGTTTCTGAAGCATTCCCCTCTGTTCTATTGGTCCCTGCAACCACCGTGTGGCCCACACACGAACATGTAATCCCCATGTTAGCGAGGAGACAGATGGTTCTAGAAATGCACTCATTCTGATATGCTTAGTGCTCCCTGGGTTGTGCTGCAGCTTCCTCCCAGCTTCCTTGGGGGCTGATCTGGACCAGAGGTTCAGCCCAGAGCCTCAGGTTTCCTCCAGCAGCGGCTCCATAGCTGGAGCTAGTCAAAGGCGGCAGGAAGTCCTGCCTGTACCACCCGTGAGAGGACTGGCCGTGACGATGTCTGCTTTCCGACAGGAGCAGGATCCCCACTAGTCAAGCTTGGAGGAAGGAGACAGATGAGCAGATGAAGGAGGGGCTGGCACTGGGTGGGTCCAGCAAGGCCCAGCTTTGGGGTCAGAAGTGGGAGGAGTGGGGGTTCTACACTAGCCAAGCTTGAACATGTCAGGTGGGAAATCGCCCGAAGGGAGCTGTGTCTACAGGTCAGGGGCAGGGGTGGTTCAGAATCATATGTAGATTGCTGCTTATGTGGGAAGGAAAGCAAAAATTAACATTGGCTCCTCTGGAGGCCATATCCATGACCTTCTCCTGGGCTTAGCTGCTTAGCATCTCAGGGTCCTCAGCTCTGGACTTATCTCATGGTTGTCCATTTTGTTTTTAGGAGAAAAGAATCATTCTTGCTTTTAAAAATTTTCATAGGAATTCAGATTCTTCTAAGACTGTGCTTTTCTGTCATACCTAAGACAGGACATCCCAAAGTTTGGAATGCCTAAAACTTTGTGAGTGTGGGATCAGGAAATAGTCCGCTGCTCACTCAGGCCATTTTGGCCAAACGACCTCCCAAGACCTGTCTCTGAAGCGTTTCCCGACACTCTGATAATAACCCTTCCCGGAGGGCTGCTGGATTTGCCTGCTACTTAGGTCTCCAATTCGATTGCTTTTGAAAAGTAGATCATTTTAAAAGTTAGGCTGTGCTGTTACACGCTTGTGCTTTCTGTTATATTAAACCTTAACTTTAAAAATCCTTGTTTACCTAGATGAGGAGAAAAGGCGACCTGATATTTTCCATGCATTGAAAATGGGTAAGTGCTTTAGAAAATCTTTTGGGATATTTAAGATGCAGTGCCACATTCTCCCGACCTAACATCTAGTCCTCTTCAAGGTCATCCGGAGCATTTGAGAAAGAATCAGGCGTTTTGTTGTTTCTTGACTCTAGTTTCACCCTGGAGGCTGGTTGTTATTATGGTGCTTCACCAGCAGATTCCAGCCTGCTCTCCACCTCTCCAGACAAACCCTGTGGTTAGGTCCTGGCTTTTGCCTGCCTCTGAAATGCCAGGCTGCCCACCTACCTGCTTCAGTATTTTTGTGATGTAGAACTATTTAGCCTAAAATGTCCTCTTCTGATATAGACCCCACCTCCAGGAAGCCCTCCCTGATCCTCAACGACATGAACTCTCCTGCATGGTCATTGCCCTTTCTCTGTTTCCTTCATCTGTCCTCTTAAGATAGCAACATTTCTCTCTTTTAGGAAAGCTATTTGTATGGTTGTCTCTGTCCTTTATAGACGGAAGGATTTGAGGGGGGGCGGAGGGGGGCGGCTACCTCCGGCTCATCTTTGGAGCTCCTATGGTGCCCAGCAGCCCGCCGCAGAAGCAGGCTCAGCAAGTGTTTGTTAAGCGAACCCACTGGATACATAAGCCTGCGGTGCCAGGCCCATGGATGATTGCTTCTGTTTGCAGGAAACTTCCAGTTGGTCAAAGAGATTGCTGATGAAGACCCCAACCACGTGAACCTGGTCAATGGGGACGGGGCAACCCCCCTGATGCTGGCAGCCGTCATGGGGCAGCTGCCTCTGGTGCAGCTGCTGGTGGAGAGGCATGCCGAAGTTGACAAGCAGGACAGCGTGCATGGCTGGACGGCCCTCATGCAGGCCACCTACCACGGGTCAGTGCCAGCCCCACTTTCTCAGCGGCAAGGCTGCTAGGATGCTTAGGCGGGGATAGGGTTCCTGATGGGGCTTTCTGGTCCTGAGACCTACAGATAAACCCCACGGCTGTGAAGTTGTTGGGCATGCAAAAAAGACTGAAGAAGTGCAGGCTCATTCTTTCCTGCGTTCCCGCCCTTCTGCATCCAGATTTCCCATGACTTTGTCACAGAACTTCACCAGTGGCCATGCACACCAGGCAGCAGAAACTTTTTAGGAATAAGTTTCTGCAGGTTGATTTCAGTTGAACAGGGTGATTGGTTTGTTTGGGGTTTGTTTTCTTATTTGATGAGTTTCAACTTCCACCTCAACACCTTGGCCTCTGGGAGGCTTCCATGTGCGGGGTCCTGATCTGGGCGCGGGGCGGTGGGGGGGGGGAGTGGGGCCTTGTGTAGTCTTGGTGGCCAAGTGGTTTGGGGGCAGGACCCTCGGTGTCCATTTTGTCAATGAAAGGAGCACTTGGGCTTTGATTTCCTTCGCGTTCGTGTCTGACCTGCCCACGGGGTAGAGGACGAGGCAGGTGAGACTGTTTGCAGCTCCCCACGCTCTCCTTACACACCCAGAGATGGGGCGCTGTAGTTAATATCACGTCTTGTTGCTCAGGAGTCTACCTGAGCATGGGTCTACCTCTGGCTTTTTCTTTCCTCCCCAGGAATAAGGAAATTGTCAAATATCTGCTAAACCAAGGAGCTGACGTCACTCTTCGAGCAAAAAACGGGTACACGGCCTTTGACCTAGTGATGCTGCTGAGTGATCCTGGTGGGTTGTTTCAGGAAAAGCGACCTGCGTTGCCTTTTTCAGGCTGGGACTCCAGATAATCACCTGTGTTTTAAGCACTTGCTCATTCAAGGGGGAAGCCACTCTCAAGCCCCAAGAGCTCACCACATGGCTTTCGTCAAGTCACTCCCTTCCCAGCAAGGGCTGGGCTGGGGCCAGGCCGTCCCTGAGGCCTCTCCTAGCACCAGCCTCTGGGAGCCTGGAGGAGGGAAGGCCAGCAAGGCGTGTGTCTGCCTTGGCAGTCCACACGAATCCTAGAATGGTATCTGTGCTTCATAGCCAGAAATTCTGAGGGACTCGAGGAAACAAAAAGGCCCTCTGACAGCAGAGTTAGAGGTGGAGCAATGTCCCCTCAGTTAAATTGTGTAGGTGGAGGCTGGCGGTCAAGGGTGCCATACTGGAGGCACCTCTATTCCCAGCCCGCCTCTCTTGGTCTCCAGCTGGCACCGTTCCCCCCCCCCCAACCCCTCCCCGACTGTGACAGGCCCTCCTCTGTGACCTGCGGCTTCTAATGAGCCAGCTCAAGAGGCAGGGTCTCTCTGTTTATAATCCCGGAGTTTTGAGCCCAGAGAGGGAGAGGCTGAGAGGCTCTCCCGACGCCCAGGCTTTGAGCCCTGAGCCAGATCCCAACCTGCTGGCCGTGGGGAGAGGACTTTTACCTCCGCAGTCCCAAGTGGGGTTACTCCCGCTGCCGGTCCTAGCTACCGGGTGGCAGGCAGAGTGTCCTTTCTCATCAGCAGCATTGCCACCCTCCCCGCTCCTCCCCACACATCACACACCTGCTTGGTTCCATTTCATCCTCCTGGGGCGAGAGGGAAGCAGAGCTTCACACTGTCTTATGGAGGGAGGTGACCGAGACCAGGGGAAATGACTTGACCCAGCGGGAGAGATGGGCCCTCTGCCCAAGTCCAGTGAGCTCACTCCTGTTGTTCAGAATGAGTCTCTCTGTGACCCTAGGTTGGATGGCACAGGCTTTTCTGACAAACTTCGTCTCTCACTGTGCCTCTGCTCTCTCGCTCCCTGCCCATTTCCCCTCTCTCTTTCCCTATAAAATAATCTATTTCTAGTGTTTTTTTTTCCCCCTAGTGGGTTTTTAATGAAGTTTTCTGCCTGAAATTTTCCAAGAAACACATGCTGATTATTGAACTAGAGGCCCAGTGCACAAACTCGTGCACGGGTGGGGTCCCTAGGCCTGGCTGGCAATTGGGGCTGATGGGAGGGAGGGCGGCCAAGGGGAGGGACCATGGGAGGTCGGCCGGCTGTGGGGAGGGGCTGCAGGAGGTTGGCTGGCTGGGGGGAGGGACTGCGGGTGGTTGGCCAGCGGGCCTTCCAATCGGTGCTGATGCAGGGGCCAGTCAGCCAAGGGGGGGGGACTGTGGAGGTTAGCTAGCTGGCTGGCCAGGGGGAGGGACCGTAGGAGGTTGGCTGGCCGACTGGCTCCCCCAGTTGGGGCCGATGAGGGGGGTGTCAGCCAGCCACAGGAGGTTGGCTGTGGGAGAGCACTGACCATCATGGGGCAGCTCCTGCATTGAGCATCTGCCCTTTGGTGGTCAGTGCACGTCATAGCAACCAGCCGACCGGTCATTCAGTTGTTCGGTCGCTTAGGCTTTTATATATATAGATACTTGGAGAGAAGAAAATAAACAGGCATCAAGAGAAAAGCACTGTTAATAGTTTTCAGTAATTTCTTCTTGTTTCTTGCTTTTTCTATAACCTAGTTGAATTAATAATGACTAATAATACTTGACTTTTCTTATGTGCTTACTGTATGTCAGGAATTCCCTTGAATCCTCCAGACACCTTTATGTAGGGGCACTACAGTTGCCTCCTTTACACAGGCCCGGAGAGGGTCCTTAATTTACCTGCAGAGAGGTACCTCTGTTACCAGCCCCCCCCCTTGGTCTCCAGAGAGGGCCTGGGGCAGACTTTGAGCCTCTGCCCTCTGGCTGCAGAGCCCTGACGTTTTAAACAATACACTCTGCCTTCCTGCGGGAAGAGAGCTTCTGTTTTTTCTTTCTGGTTAAGTGGGTTCAGTGCTGCTGGACTTTTTGCCTTTTTTTTTTTTTTTTTTGGCACCTTGATCATAGAATAACAAAGACTCTGGAGCTGCAGGGCTGAATTCTAAGGCTGACAGGGGTCGTCTTAGGCCCAGTCCCCATAACCCAACAGACATATTTGCAGGTAAAACGCTGCCTTTTGTGCCCATAGACACGGAACTTGTTCGACTGCTGGCATCTGTCTGCATGCAGGTGAATAAAGACAAAGGCCGGCCCAGCCACCCGCCACCCCTGCCCTACTCGAAGGTCCGACAGCCCTGGAGCGTCCCAGTGCTGCCCGATGACAAAGGCGGGCTTAAGGTTTGCCTTTTCTTGTCTTAAAAGGCTTCTGAGAGTCAGATGGATGAGGATGCCCGCCACTTCCTGTTAACCTAGGGCTAGTTGAGGCTTAGGGGTGGGGTGGGGTGGGCTTGCAGGGGTGGGAAGTAAGATGGGGATGACAGTAGGGAATGATGGGGACTGGGGAAAACTGGGGTGATCATAACCACTTAGTGACATCAGTGGCTGCTTTGCAAGAATATGGATCCTTTTTTTTTTTTTTTTAATAATAATTTTTATTTCTTAAAGTATTACAAATAGTATTACATATGTCTTTCTTTTTTTCCCCCCCTTGACATTCCCCCGACCCCTACCCCCCGGCCCCCCCCGCCCCGTGTCTTGTGTCCATTGGTTAATCTTATATGCATGCATATAAGTCCTTCAGTTGGTCTCTTAATCCCCCCCCAACCCTCCCAGGCTTCCCACTGTAGTTTAACATTCTGTTCAATGTTGCTCTGCTCCTGTATCTACCCCTGTTCATCAGCCCATACTGGGTCCCCTTTATTTGTCCCAACCCACTGGAGTAGTCTCACCTCACCAGGCCGTCCTGAGCTCAGCAAGGCGTTTCAC